CAACTTTAAATGGGTTGAGCATTGGCACATTTGATTTGCTGATTATGTGTGGCTGTCAGTCACAGGACCAGTGCAGATGCTTGACAATTTAAACCAAATAAGAATTTTCACTAGAGAATGTGATCTGATCAAGCAACATGTCTTCTATGACTTTCATGACCAGCTTTAGGGGACAAAAGTTGTACAATAAGTTGAACTACAGTATGTACCAATAGTAATTATTGCACCAAGCTCTTCAAATTATTGTTATACTTTTGTTCTGAAGTTGCCAATATAAAAATATAAAAAATATAAAAAACTTTTCATCTAAAATTCTTGCATGCTGAAAATCCTCGGAACCAGGGTTCAAAGACCCTTTGTCCATAAAAATAATAATAAAAAAAAAAATCAGATCTGACTAAAATTTTTTTTGCCTTTACATTTTTTGCATCCGTAGAAAATGTTTTAATTTATTTTGACAATTCATAGCCACCGTACAAGCGAAAGCCAAAATCCAGAAATGAAATGTTGAATTTAAGGACTAAAGTGTGGCGAATGGTTGCAAACAAGTGCTGTATGCTGGTTTCATTGCCTGCCGTGCACCCTTCCCGTGCTGCTGTACGGTGTGTGTGTGTCTGCCACACCTTTGACGTTCTGCTAGTTCTATTCAGTGGTAATTCGCTAGCAAAGTAACAAAATGGCACTGAACTTTTGCAATAACCTTTTAAATTTTCAATAATTCCCTGCAATTCTCCTTCCTCTCCATGCAGTGGTTTGAAAGGACAAAATTCCATCTTTCTTTTTCATTTTTTGATGAAGAGAGAGCAAAATAAATTTTCCCTACAATGGACTAATTATAAACATTTGACCTATATTACTAGGTTTCTTTTTGCATGACACATTCTTAGGATTTCCGACTTCACTGCTCAAAGACCTTTAGCCTTAACATCAGCATTGTTTAACTTGCAAATTAGCATTACATTTAGACACTGACAGATTATGTACTTGCTCAAATTCAGTTTCAAATGCAGCTTTAATGTTACTTTGTTTTTCTAACATGAACAACCAACATACAATACATTTTATTACAGTATTCATTCATCTTCAATAAAGTTACTTAATACAACTAATCCTGTATTTAGTCCATATCTCATAGCACATTAATGTTAACAAGCAGACATTTGATTTTACTAATGCATTAATAAATAATAAGATTAAATGTCATACAAGTATTGGTCATGTGTAAATAACAATTAACTAATTGAATGAACTAATTGAATTCCTTTGTAAAGTGTGACCCATTTATCATCTTTTTTTCCTCTGTATTGATTAAGTGGATCAATGCAATGTGCTTTGAGTTGTGTTGTATAAACCCTCATTGTCTGCTATGCTTTAATGAGCAAAGTAGAAAGTGCCAGTGGTCTTTGAGACGAGAAAATGACTGAACCTGGCCTGAAAACCCTCAACACTCTTTGAAACTGAAAAATCTAACTATCAGGCTGCCTGCTAAGGAAAACAAGGCATCTGCAATCAATTCTAATCAAACATGATACTTATGAGTGTTAAAGGGGTGAAATCAGCCTCAATCAGTGTTGTTGAAACAAAGAACACTCAACTTAGACCCTCGCCACCACACAGCCTCTTTGTTTTTACGGATTTGGATTACATAATGAGAGGGAGCAGCGGATTAGACTCTAGAAAAGTCTGTTTTCTTTGTAAACATATAATATTTGCGACCAGAAAGTCAGCTTGCCTGGACTAGTTAAGATGGATGTGGCTCTCAGATGGACCCCAAAAACAAAATAAATAGACCTGACTGTTAATAAGATCTTTCAGTATATTACTTTTTCAGTGATTATAAAATAATATAATATAAAATGTAATGTAATATAAGGTAAGATTACATTAGAAAAATATAAACAATTGTACCAAATACTTACTTTGTGGTGGTGGTTGGAGGGCCTGGCCACTGGGAGAAGGAGGATGAGGAGGTTGATCTTGCTCTCCCCAACCCCTCTGGCTGCGGATGACCAGCGTTCTGTGTAAAAGAAAGGTCATAAAAGCCACATTATAATAAGAATTTGTAATAAATAAGAGTTCTATTATCAAATTTAGATTTTAGAGAAAAAAGTTTTACACTCATTTTATTTGTTTGTATCTGAATTGAATGTATTACACTTTGTTGTTAACTATAGACTGAAATATAACAATGTGCAAATAATAGGACTCTACATAGTTTAAGGCATTAGTGAAGATAAATGTTAATCCTTATGACAATAGTAAAATAGTCATTTATTTAAAGAAAGAACTACAATTAGTTCTGTAAGAGTATGTCTGTTTTTTGATGTTGTGTGCAGACATACTTCATCCACAGTTTGTTATATTAGATTTTGCGTCCTCATAATAATACAGTAGATGCCTGAATAGTTGCATTAAGCAATTGTTTTTCATTTTTGTGCAAGCTACATCAATGTTGTCATATATTCACCATCTGAGAGCCACAAATCCTCTTTAAGGGCAGGTGGGGTATTGTCCAACTAAAATATTTTCTACATTTTTCTGGATTATTTTTATTTGAATATTGAGCAGAATTTATTCAGATTTAATTAATGGCTTCAACAAGTTGTATCATCATACTTGCATCATACATCCTAGCCCACGAGCAATCACATTTTTACAATGTGGTGAAAAATTTAACTGCATGGAGCTGCCAGTGGATCAGGTTTAAAACTCACCCACTTATCAAAGACTCTCATATTCACTTTAGTTTGTATGTATAGGAATATATGTATATATTAAAACATGCTCATCTAAATAACTATATATTATTCTGTTTATGGCTTTCCTTTCACACACACATTCCTTTAAAAACAACATTCACAGAAAATACTACATTCAAGCAATTCTAAGATAATATTTTGTGTGTGTTGTGTGCCCTTAAACTTATCAGTCAACTTTAGAGCATCACCCTTAGGCTGAATAACAATTTATTTTATAAAGCATACTGATCCACTGCACAAACAACTCAATAATCTGCTCACAGCAGTTACGACTTAAGAAGATTTATTTGTCCACAGGTACACTTTAATACTTTTAAGTTCTTTTTTTGAAGCTTTAGTTGATAGTTGGCCCAAAAATGAACATTTGCTGTTAATTTACTTTGTTTTTTTCTTCAGAAATGTCTAGTTAGTCATTCATAAATGCAATTTAATTGTCATATTGAGAGCCCTCACCCAAACATATACAGACAAAAATGAATAACCAAGGCTCCTGATGATATGTTGAGGACTTTTAAAGTGACATGATTGATGTGTGTTATAAGCTGAGCATTTTTTATCAACTAATCAGCGGCTTCAGTCCTGAAACCTTTATCAACATAAATCTGCTGAATATTATACGAAATATGTTGCATAACTATGAAAATATAAGAAAAGGCAAGCTTTCCAATTAAAAGTGCATATACAAATCTAATTTTACTTTATTAAATATAGGTTGGAGTATCTGGAAAAAAGCACATATGCAATTTTACTACAAAGTACACACATCCTCCCTTTTTATTGTGAATAAAGTGTTGTGCTTAGGCCTGTCGCGGTATCTATTTTTTGTTGAAATGATATATCAAACTAAAATTGCGATAAACACAATATTTTATTTTTAAGAATATTTTGTTTAATTATAGTCATTTCAACAATTTAACAATTAGGCATTATATTCAGAATATGAAATGTATATCCTCCTAAACAAATAAATAATAATTAATGTTAACAAAAAAGTGTAAGGTAAAAAGTAAGAGAGGCTGCAATATCTGATACCAGATCTGTTTTCAGTTGTCAAGCACTCACATGAAAATATACTATAATAATTTATAGTAAATACTAATGTTTTTTTACCCGTACTCCTCCACTAGAGATGGAGATATACACCTCCAATAGAGATAGAGAGGTTGTGCAATAAACTAAAATGTTGCTTAAATTGGTTTTTGTGTATGGGTGATATATATTGCATCACCAAAAATGATCGAGGTCATGTCCATGTATTGCGCGATAAGTCGATATATTGATTATTGTGACAGGCCTAGTTGTGCTCATTTGACAAGGTTGTTGATATTAAAGGCAATCATGTTGTAAATAATGAATTTCTTGCACAGACTGGTAGTTTAGCTTCATGAGACCTCAGTGTGTCTTTGGAAGATATAGGCATTCATTTTGTTTCGCCTAAATATAATTTTATGACTCTAAGTGCAAGAAGCCAGTGTGTTGGTTTTGTAATTAACCAAGGACCAGTATTAACTATAAAAATCTTCTTTAGTTTTGTAATGTAGAAAAAAATGTACCTATATATTGATTCTTGATAGACCTGAAAGTGAGTTGAGTTGAGTAGTTCAACAGCAAAGTTTAATTGTTTTAGGTGAACTATGCCTTTAAAGGCCCCAATTATTGTAATTGGATTAAAAACAGTGACAAGTACAGAATTCCTCCTTTGGTTTTCAAAACTGAGAGACTTGAGTGTAGTAGATAAAAACAAAATATCTAGTTTAAAATAAGCTATTCCTATTAGACAATCATAAACGTGATATTGTCTGGCTTTTGGCAAGCGGACAGTTTAGGAGACAGACAAGCAGAGCAATCAATATAGAAAAGGGTCTCAATCCTTGAGCTTGACCCTGTCTGTTAACACCACATTCTTCCATCTCTCTTTTTGTGTTGAAAAAGCAGCCAAACTTGTGTGAGGAGCTAGAAAATAAAAGCTGCTACAGAAGCAATTTACACCAATAGCCTTGAGGTTTTTATAAACTCCTTGCCAGATGGATGAGGGAGACGAAAATCTGAGTTTCAAATGCAACACTAATGAGCTCAATTGTTTGCTACTTCACTGCAAAATCTCAGAGAATCTAATTTGCCATTTGTACCATTCGTATGTTTTAATGCGCAAGTTTAGTTTAACCACCGCAAAAAACAACCACAGACTGATGAAATAGCAATGAAACATTGTAGTAAGAGCATCTTTTTTTTTATTTTCAGAGAGGAGCTGGAGAAATTTGTGCATAATGGGACCCTGAGCCATCTGATTGTGTGCTTCTCCAGAGATGAACCCGATGCTGCGGAAACCGTTAACAGACCAACATATGTCCAGCATAACTTGATCCTCCATGCTAAAAATCTTGCCAAAATTCTCCTGGAAGACAAAGGCTGCCTTTATGTCTGTGGGTGGGTACAAAAACACATTTTTAGGCTTTGTTTAACAATCATTAGCCCCTTTTACGCATACAGTAGTCAACATTTGAAATAAATTACCAACTTTCATCAAAGTTGTCCTAAATTAATTGAATAACACCAGAGCTGGACTGGGACGAAAAAAAAAAAAATGGCTCTGGCATTTTGGGCCAGAGCGGCCCACTACATACAGTTAAAATGCTACCCATCTGTACACGCCCTTGAATATGTTTACCAACTTCTAATCTGCAAAAGCACAAAAGCCATATATAGAAAAACAGTGAGAGTTGACTAATTACAAACAAACAAAAAAAAGTATTATAACAATAAAATGATAATCCACACTGGATGTCTATCTTTTATGTTTTGAACGAGCCTATATTAAACAACAAAAACTGCCTGCTGATGCACACAGTTAATGTTGATTAACAAAATAAAATAATAAAAGCAAAATATCAGAGACAAAATTTTAATTTAATTCAACAGTGAAACACAAAAACATAGCTTAAAGATTTTATTTAGTCAATCAAATTAACTTAAACAATTAAAAAAATCCAACAAGTTTATTTGGGCCCAAACTACAAAACCAAATTTAAAACAATTTCAGAATTAGCTTTGCTTAAGTTGCATACTAGTTTGATCATGTATAAGTATCATCAAAACTATATTGTATAAATATTATTATAACTATAAACCTTCATCCTGACAATCAAAAACAAAAGGATATGATATACAGGTGATTGTCTTCTGACATGCAATAGTACACTTGAAAAGACACGAATGACACACCTCATAGAGAGTGAGAAGCATACAGCACTTTAGGATCTATATAATTTGTAAAATAAAGAGTTGCAGGTTAAGGAAACAGCATGGGATAAAGTTGCCGTGGGACTTTCTGCAGATGAAAAGTAAAAATACAAAGTGTATTTATATAGATGCATAGATAGGTAACTAGATGGAATAGACAGAGTTAGAGTGATCTGTTCGACAGCCGACAATCCACTGCATGTGAAAAAGCAAATGTCTGCGCGCTGCTTCTGTTCTCCATACACGCTGCACAAAATAGGAGTTTGTTGATTGGGTCAGCCTAATGTCGATGAAGAAAAAAAACAATGGGCTGCAGATTATGTCACATGGGCCGATCTGTCTGAAAAAAAAAATCATACTTTTAAAACGTTACAGATCACAGCATCGTCAATTAATTAAATAGAACTAAGCAGTTCATGGGCTGATCAGATCATAGGAGGATCAGCCTGGCCCAAAAAGTTTACAAACTACTCGGTCTGCTAGATTGCCAGTCCGCTCTTAAATAACACCCATTCTTGTCCTAAAACAATTTTGGAAAAACATTTTTGATTCACTTTGAATGTTGACTGTATACTTTTTTTCTGGAAAATTACCGGTAAATTGTAAAGAGATAATGTGAGAACAGACCCTTTTCATTTTTCGTAATGAGAAGTTGTAATATTAACAGTAAATTCCTGCATTTTTTTTGTGTGAACGTAAAATGAGCACGTACAAGTTCAGAATGAGCTGACATGAAATGTCTACTTCGGGCCAATCAGAACATTCTGATGACAGTGAGTGTGTTCACATGGACACCACTAATCCGATTTTAATACGATTAAGACAATAATCTGATTAAGAGAATACCAAATAGACAGCGATATTTGATTAATCCGACTAAGATCATAAACTAAACAGAAATCTAATGAAGACATGTGGAGTTTGCTGATTTTACTTGCATTATTGATGTGCAATACAGACATGTAAACACCACAGTCAAACTATTTCCGTCGTATAGGATTTTCTCCAAATGAAACTCCAGAGGAAATGTGGATTGTGACGCAATGACGATAATCTAATTATGTGCTATAACCAAGCGGCAACCTTCTGCTCTCCCTCGGGAAGTTAATGCAAGAGTAACTAAAACTGCAATTTATTGACACAACTTTGGGGGCTGGGTTCAGGAAATCCAGATGATTTCTGATTGCAGTGGTATATTGACCATTTTTAAAGCAAATAAATACATGTTTACAGCCTGGTTCAAAAGATGTTTTGGTTCATATAGCTAATTTTACCCTTCATGACAACTATGAGGGGGGATTATAACTAATCCTTTTTGTTTTTATTAAGTCTGAATAATTAAGGGTGTGGCCACTTGAGTGACAGCTAAGACCTGCTGTCTCGTCACCTCAGCTGATTTTGGCGGATTAGCCGCTGAACTCGTCATATACATTGTATTTTTGTTTTGTTTAATGTTCTTTACATAGTCAATTGCCTTTTGGAATTATTTCCTGCAATTATCAGATACCATAGCATGCTATGTACACTTAATTGTGCTCACAAACCGTTCAAGTTGCCTCCATTTACCAGGTGAGTGAAATTATATACTTCTACACCATCTCTATAAATGTATTTCTTTTACTTAAGATAATTTATCATTTAAAATTTTCTTTAGAACTGTAATGCACTCCAGAATCTGACAGATTGATTAGCTGCAGGCTATAAAACAGCTTCTATATATATAGATATAAAACATCATCTGAAGCGTTGTCATACAGTGTTCTGCCTGGATTTCATAGTTAGCCTTGCATTTACTAACAGACTATATTTTAGTTGTTTGGAAGGAATTCACGTTTCCCTCCTGAAGAAAAACATCATAAGAACAATGTTTAGTGGCTCAATATATTACAACAGTGTTTTTAAAGGACTAAACATGTTATTGATATAGTTTACAAATAAGCACATGTGGTCAGAACACAAACGAGTCGCAGGTAATTCAGTATTAAACGTTCTCCCAAAGAAAAGTCTGTCTAAGCAAAATGCCAGCATGCATGTGTAGCTTTGTCTCTTTACCCTTGTTTGGTATCTCGCAATCTGTGCGATGATGCACAAACAAAATGGTGACGGTTGGCCGTGCCTACTTGTAGCTTCTTTTGCACTGTTAAGACACCTATGGGTGACATAATGGATACTACGTCCATATATATTAGTCTCTGGCTATAACATGTAAAATGGGATCATAAAAGGAAAATACAAAAAGCAACTCATTTAAACACCATAATCATATTGTCTTATAAGATTAAGGCCAATAATGATTACTGATGTCCATGTAAACGTAGTCAATGTTTCTTTATTGCCAACTGTGAGGGAAAAAAAAGATCAAAAAATGCTTGTGATAAACCGCTGCGTTCAGCTGTGTGAGGTGCACCTGAAGGGGAAGTGCAGTTTGTCAATTACAGAGTCAGATTTTCGTACAACACCATTGCTTAGAGTGTCTCACAACATGCAGCACATACCTCTCGACACGCGAAAGTGTCCACACCTCTTTATTAGAGTTGTTCACAATACCTTTCCAAAAAGACAAAAGCTGCTGCAGGAATGTGGATGTTTCAAATAAATATTAAACCTTCAACATACAAGAAACCCCACAAAAAACAGTTACATGTTAACAAATACAAACACAGCCACTTAAACTTTTTTGGGGGGGTTAGAATGTCAGAATTTACCATTATTTTGAAGGATGTGTGAGTGGTGCTTTCCAGAAACATTATGGAATGTCCTTGCCTGTGTAAATAGTAGATTTAAAAAGAAAAATACCAGTAAAGTTTTTGATTGTCATTTTACTGAGATGTACTGGTATTACTGTGTGAAAGGGGCTTTTGTTCGGTTGCTCTGCCACATTTTGTTCACCTGAAATTAAACTTTATCTTATGATTTTACAGGGATGCTAAGAACATGGCAAAGGACGTGAATGACACTTTACTGGAGATCATTGGAAACGAACTTCAGCTTGATAAACTGGATGCAATGAAGATAGTGGCAGGACTTCGCGAGGACAAGCGGTATCTACAGGACATCTGGAGTTGAGAAAGCACACATAAATTACACGAACAAACGGCATCACATTCACAGACAGATGTGCAAGCTACTTTTTTGCTCACATCTGTGACACAGGTGCCATTTAGTGATAGTCAAGCTCATTAACAACCTGCTTTTCAATATTTTTTCTCTTCTTTTCAAGTATTTAGAGAATTATCTGAGGCTCGATATGGTCGGATTAGATATGTTTGGTGGAAGTGTTTTAACTGTGCCTTTTATGCAATTATTAAAGAGGAGCACTGCATGACTGTTTCATTCTTTGAAGATCGTTTCTGTAGAGTTTAGATGCAGCTGAGGTAAAATATGCATAATGCATCAGACTCCGCAGCCAGGAGGACGCTAGACACGAGAAACCAAAACATGACAGACTGGATGAGAAAACTGTCAAAAGCTGCCAAATTGAGGATCATCTGCAGCATTTCTGGGTTCTCCAGCTCTGACTATTGTTTTTTTATATAACAGAGGATACTTTTTCATTTTCTTCCCAGAAACATTTTTGCCTTTCTGGTTTGAAATTGATCCTGGGTATAAGCAGAAATTATATCAATATGAAGATACATAGCAAGTCTTTTATTTCACTGCCAATATATTGTCAAACCTTTCTAAAAACCACTCTTTTAATACTTTTTGACACCCCCAAAACTTTAATTAACTTGACAAAAAAAAATGCAAACCAAAAAAGTGTCAATATTATTCAATAATAACAAGCTCCTAAAACATAGACACACCTGCTTGTGAAAATTGACTGACCATAAAAAAAATGGAATCAGTGTTTTTTAGTTATTTTTAGTAAAATTTGTAACATTACAAAAATAGCTGAACAAATTTGGAAGACACACAAAATTGTATTTCTGTTGTAATTATAATTAGTATTTATTATTATTATTATTAGTATTAATAAACAAATGATAAAAATGTAATCAAAGTAATAGCATTAACAACTGTAGTTTATAATGATCAATTTATGTAGCAATAACATTATGTAATAGCGTTACAATTACAAAGCAAGACTTTATGATTTCTTTGATTTCTTTACTTTCAAATGTTAAACTGAAGCTTTTATTTTGGCAAAAAAAATGTATTACAAATTGGGAAAAGGTTTTTAGTGCATGTCACATTTTCAAACACGCATTATATGCAACTCAGATTCAGCATTTGCATAAATTGAGTTTGTGTGGGGGGTTCAGGGTCTTGGAGAAGTTTTCATTTGTCCTGACATTTATGCTTTTTTCAGTTTCTTATGAATATATTAATAGATAAATTCTGAGAATACATTTTAAAGGGTGGTCTAAAGTCTATTTTTAAAGCTTCGTTGTGTTGGTGCAAAGCAATGTGTGCTCATGCTTCATTTGTAAAAACAAATCATGATATTTTTTCATATATCTTACTTTAATTATAAAAACTTCTACTCAGCTAACATGAAAATGACTTTTATATTTCATAGTTCCCCTGAAAGCCCACCTTAACAGGCTGTGAATGGTCAGCTAACATAATGTGCTGTGATTCTGTGATTTTTAACAAATAAAAATATTCACAGGTTGTGGCTCACAATTCACAGATTATTCTTTTATGGTTAAACTGCTCCTTCTTTAATGAGTTTCTAGCCGAATCCAGCATTGAGTTGGGAAAGATTTTGGAAGCTGTCCTTTGTCAAATGCTAGAGCTATAGCTTTTTTATAATTCTCTGGAACATAATTAAAATTAATTTGTAAGCACTTCTTTCTTTGTTTCATGTCCTTTAAAAGCCCAAATACTGAAACAAGGTCTGTGAAAATAGCAATGTTTGAACGGCATTTTAGCTTTCTCTGCTATAACATTACAGCGCATCTGGCCACGCCCCCTTCTTTGCACAGGGTTTATGCGTGTACATGTAACCTGAAGGGTTTAGGATCTCATTAACCTGGATGTATTTTTTTTGTAGTCCTCAAACATCATTCACTGTAGGCTTTGCAAAGCTAACTTTTTAAAGCTAATGTCTCCCTTTGCATTGAACTTTGAGCATATTACATTCAGAGATGTTGTTTATGTTCACACAGCTACATTACACATCAACCAAAATGTAAAATATGATATCGCAGTGGACCACCCCTTTAGCACAAACTCTATGACAATAATAAGTGAGTGGAATGAATGTGGCGATGTATTTTTTTTAAAATACATGTTTAGTAAAAAAAAGTCACTAAAATAAGGCCAAAAAGTGTTTCTATAGAAGTTTTGCTAACTAATTTACTTAAAAATTTATTACTAAAATATCTGAGATGTTCTACATTTTGAATATGACCACTGATAAATGCCTAGTGTTTTAGAACAGAATGATGTTTAAAAAAAATCCTAACATTAGTTTGAATTGGTGCAAAATGTAAGTAAATCTGATCATTGCCCTATAACTAGTGGTAACTATTATATGGTTTTATTTTGACCAGAAATGACCAGCTGACCGCAGACTGTCTTCTCCAAGTGCAAGTGTTTTTGAAATCACATTTTGCTTAAACAAAGGTTTTGTGACATTTCAGTTCTCTTTCTGAATCCCCCTTTGCTTGGTGACATTAATCATCATCCTTTTGACCTTTCTTTACATGCATTTTAGACCACTTTTGTCTCAAGTGTTATTGCTTAAAGAACAGACTTGAGAGATTTCTGTCTGGTAAACACTGATTGTGCACGAGGACTCTTGAAGGCAATGATTCACGTCAACACTCCAGAGGGTCAGCGGGCTAATGAGAAAGCATAATCATGGAAGAATAATTGCAGAATCCTCCACCTCGTGAGGTTATAAAGTTATGAACACAGGCCCGTTAAGATCTCACATTAGTTGTGAATTTAGGGATCCTATACTGATTACAAATGTTGTCTCAGAGAGGGAAAAGGGCTTCCATGCTTTCTTTCTGAACAGCAGTGAGTAATGATGGCGCTGTGATTTGGGACGGTCATGAATTTATAAGTGCGGTGCTTAAATTTTAAAACAAGCACTTGAAATTTTATGGGGACAATCAGATTGCCTTTGAGTAGACGCAGTGAGTGATAGTATGATGGCAAACAAAACCATGGTAATCTTGTTTAAAAGAAAAAGCAAAAGTGAAATAAAAGAAAAAAAAAGCTGCTCTTCTAACATGACTGGATTATTCATTTGAAAACATAACGCTATATTAATTCTTTTAAAAATATTGTTTAAAGCTATATATTCAGCGGATATTACAGTGTGAGATGATCCTTCATGCTGGTGTGCTGATTAAATGCTTAATCCCTCAACTGACACCCCACTTTTGAGTCAGACTCGAAAAAATGATACATAATGTGTGCATATTTATTCCAGAGTTTAATGTAAGACTAGATTAATAAAGGAATGTTTTAAAATGAATATTCAAGACAAACCCAATAAAATGATTCACAAAAGATTTAGATTTCAATTTCAATATAGATTTAAAGTTTTAGTTTTAGCAAGAAGTAGAAGGCTTTAGCTTGTTTCCTATAGCCTGTGTAAAGTAAGATACCAGCGAAAACCAACCTCACTAGCTTAAACCGGAATGTTTAAAAAAGCAATGTAAGCTTAAACCTAAAATAAGGTAGAAAGAAAGAGATACAAACAAACTAAATTAGAAAAAAAAAATTATTTAGCAGATTATGTTTAAGTATGCTGTAAAAAATGCTGGCTTTCAAACAATTTATTCATGTTGTCGGAACTTTTGTTTGATTGCATCAATGTTGAAACAGTAAATTATCAAATATGTAGTTCCTGTATAACGCGCTTTCACTTCAAACACTAGCGGAGGCGTGGGGGATCACGAGACTGATCATGACGCGAAGATGACGATCCCTGACAGATGGATATTCGGCTGCTGAGAATAAAGGGTTAAAGTTCATATTCACAACAATACCACAGTGGCCAACCTTGCTGTGTTTGTTCCGGTCAATTTTTCTGACAATTGATACAATAACCTACGCTGCAACGTGGGATTTGCTGGCCATTTGCTATTGAAGAATCAGCAGAGACTATTTTGTACGGGACTTTGTCAGACTTTGAAAGGGACCTTGTAAGTAACTTTTACAGTTTAAATGGATCAGTTTCTTCTTCATCTGGATAATAACATGTAATGTGTGATTAAAATTGTTGCCTCATTTTGTGTAGTTTGCAAAATATGTGTTTAATTGTCTGTTATAAGCTGTAATCACCCTGCGTGCTTGTAATGTATCTCTTGGGTTAAATCAGTATGAGGCTATTCACATATCGCCTCCAAAACCATGTTAAAAACGTGACGTGTGCTTCTTCCTTTACCCAGTGCGTTTCTGAGCTAGTGATCCTCTGCTGTTAGCATTTGCTATGGCCACCATCAGCTGTTCCTCACACGCCCAGCATGGTCAATTTTCAAAATAGTTCAACTTTTGCCACTGTGTGGATTAATACTGAGTGTGTGTTGTTGTTATCACTTGGGGTAAGGTTTAAGAGTAGAGCAGTATGCTGTTCTTTAACTGCATTGCTTTATTGCATTCCTGCATTGGGCTCTCTCATACTTTCTGCTACTTCATACTGTAGCCATGGTGGGCATTTCTCTCTGTCTCGTGCTGAACGCAGTCGACCAGTCGCAATGGACAAGGTCATCGGTCCATTCAGCACAGATTAGCTTCGTGCTAGGTAGGGTTTGGGAACAAATGAATCATTGAATGATTCATATGGGAGTCACTGGGATAATTAGGTAAAAATAAATGCATATTATAAGACAATGAAAGTGTTTTTTGACCTTGCACGCATATCAGCATGTTGTTGGAGACCCCAAAAGCCAAAATATCACCTTTTAAATGGAAAATAGGGGCTCGATAACTAAATCTTTTTTTTTTTAACAAATTGAAGTGGTTTAAACATAAAACAATTAAGTTGTCCCTAGAAACTTTTTTAAATACGTAGTTGGTATAAGCAGTAAAAGTCTTTTTTTGAGTGTTGAGGTTTTTGCACATTGCTAAATTTACCCTCACATTAAAAACAAAACAAAAAAAAAAACATTTTATCACATTATTAAATGAACAAACAATGTTGCTACAGCATTTAACACAATGCTAGTATGTTGATTAACATTTAGGACGTTTTGTTAGCTTGATTCATTACCATGTTACTAGCATGTTTTAAAAAAAAAGTGTTAGTTTCTAGCATATGGTATTTTAACACACTGCATTTTTGTCTGATTTAACATGGTGTTAGCATGTACTAGGCTAGTTGCTTGCTACTGCAAAGGAAGATGAATAACTGGATGT